AAAATGACAAGTTTCAGTTATATGACAAACACTGTATCGTTGCTTTGCCAACACCCAAAAGAAAAACTCATCCTCTTTCAATCAAAAGTAATGGATGTCAAATCCGTCTGCATTTTGTCAGTATGACTGAATTCCAGCTATTAAGAAGGTGATCAAGTAAACAGAAAATCATCTATTGTGATCATAACCCTTTAAAAAAATCCTGACATCATAAAGAGCATATTTGAAAATCCTTCTACAGGGATTCAACAGTTCATTTAAAAAAAAATAGAAATATCGCAGTGAAAGTGAGAGGTGCTTCTCAATGGGATACATTTGGTCCTTTTGCTTAACACTCAAGTATAAATAGATGACATCAAGTTTTGCCCTCAAAAGTTTACTGCTCACTGTCCTCTACCTCTCCTACCAACCAAAGAAGAAAATAAGACCTCAAAACGAAGGCATCGGGCTTCCCTGGTGGCACAGTGGTTGAGAGTCCGCCTGCCGATGCAGGGGACACGGGTTCGTGCCCCGGTCCGGGAAGATCCCACGTGCCGCGGAGCGGCTGGGCCCGTGAGCCATGGCCGCTGAGCCTGCGCGTCCGGAGCCTGTGCTCCGCGACGGGAGAGGCCACAAGTCTCCAGTTGAGAGGCCCACGTACCGCAAAAAAAAACAAAGGCATCTCCTCCCAGTACTCAGATTATTATTTCCCATTTTCTGACCCCTATCTTCTTTTTCTTACATAGGCCTGAGAGGAGCTAGCTTGTAAACCAAATCTACAGTTTCCCTAGCAAGTTCCAATGACATCCCTCATTTAGAGAGAGCTACCTTCAGGGTCTTGTAAACAAACTCATTCCGTATTTCAATATTCTCAGAAAATAATGTTTAAATCCAAAAATGCCCTCCCCATGAAAATTTTACTCTTTTCTTTGAAAGCAAAGATAACCTTAATTTCAGGGAGCTATTCAAGAGAAGAACACAGGGTACATTTCTTCCAAGGCGGAAGCACACCAAGATTTCTCTGATAGTATTTAGAATAGAGTTACAACGTCAAAAAAAAAAAAAAAGAGTGAAAAGAAGAGAATGTTATTGACCAAAAAAAAGCTGTCATATAGCTATAGACTTATAGGCTATGAAATAGAAAAAAATCTGCAATTTTTCAAGATTCTTCTGGCAAAACATTCTTTGGAATCATTTCTTTCTGAGAGCTGAAAAGCATTTTTCTAAGATGCTGCCAGCTCTAAAAACAACCTTTCTGATCTCTTGAAAAGCCAAGTTCTACTTTTAATAGTGCTATGTACTTTTGGTTTCAAAGAAAAAAGTGAAAGAGAAGGAACCACAGCCAAAATGGTAAGTTTACCCTACTCATGCCTCAAGCTATACATAATGATTTCACACAGTACTTATGAAGAAGGGATCAAATTTTTCCTTTAAAAATAGAACATATACCTCTATGTCACATATGTAATGTTTAAGTATAAGGAGCAAAAGCACCCCCCTTTCACTCCAAAACCCAGTCAAAACAAAAGTTTATATGGAGAGACAGTCATGAACAGAAGATCTCTAATAGACATGAGAAGCAAAAGTGACAAAAGCAAAAATAAACAAGTGGAACTACATCAAACTGAAAAGCTTCTACACAGCAAAGGAAACCATCAACAAAATGAAAAGGCAACCTACAGAATGGGAGAATATATTTGCAAATCATATATGTGGTAAGAGATTAATATCCAAAATATATAAAGAACTCATACCAAAAAACCCCAAACAATATGATTTTGAAATGGGCAGAAAATCTGAATAGATATTTTTCCAAAGAAGATATACAGAGGGCCAACAGGTATATGAAAAGGTACTTGACATCATTAATCATCAAAAAATGCAAATCAAAATAAGCTATTACCTCATACCTGTTACAATGGCTATCCTCAAGAAGACAACAGATGGTAAATATTGGCAAGAATATGGAGAAAAGGGAACCCCTGTGCACTGCTGGAGGGATTGTAAACTCCACAGTGCAGTCACTATGGAAAACAATATGGATATTCCTCAAAAAATTAAAAATGGAGCTACATATGATCCAGCAATCACACTTCTGGGTATATATCCAAAGGACATTAAAACAGGATACTGAAGATATATCTGCACTCTCATGTTCACTGCAGCATTATTCACAATAGCCAAGCCATGGAAACAACGTAAGTGTCCATCAACAGATGAATGGATAAAGAAGATGTGGAGATGTGTGTGTGTGTGTGTGTGTGTGTGTGTATGATGGAATATTATTCAGCCATGAGAAGGAAGGACATCCTGCCATTTACAACAACATGGATGAACCTTGAGGACATTAGGCTAAGTGAAATGAGTCAGACAAACTGTATGATGTCACTTATATGTGCAATCTGAAAAAGTTAAACTCATAAAAACAGAGGCTAGACTGGTAGTTACCAAGGGCTGAGGGGTGGGAGAGAAGGGGAGGCGTGGGTCAAAGAGCACAAACTTCCAGTTATAAGATGAATAGGTTCTGGGGGTCTGATGTACAGCATGGTGATTACAGTTAATAATAGTGAATTATATACTTGAAATTTGGCTAAAAGAGTAAGTCTTAAATGTTCTCATCACAAAAGAGAAATGGTAATTACGTGATGTGATGCAGGTGTTAGCTAACGCTATGGTGATAATGATTTTGCAACATACAAGTGTATCAAATCAACATGTTGTAACCTTAAGTTATATGTCAATGGTATCTCCATAAAAGCTAAAAAAAAGATTTCTAATAAAATCAAAATGGCTAAGTTAGTAACACCATGATAGGTTGCATTAACAATGATAAATGTTAAAGTGTTAAACATAAGGTACTATATCCAAAAATCTTGGTAAGACAAAAAATGTTTACTAGTTCAGATTCTCCCATTTCCATAAAAGACTATTTTAATCCTCCCATGCGAAATGGACAGAATCTATGGGATTACTAGTATTTCGAATGAATTTTTTAATTTTACTACAAAATTTACTAGAATCAGTCACTTAAGGAACTTATGTCAAATAACTGGTGTGCTCGAATATTTCACATTTCAACTTATTATTTTAGAGTTGTCAAGACATAATCTAAATCTAACAGGGAAAAAACATGCAGGCTTCAAATAGCACTTAAAGAAACACAAAGAAGGAAAGTTAGAAGTCAAGGATGATAATTCTGAGATAAAGGCTGAGTGGAGAAAAAGACAGAAATCTACTAGAGACCTTATCAGGATGCAGTGCTGAACTCTGCCACATTATCACTGACCTGTAACCTCTTCTCTGGCTCACAAACAACTTTTGAGTACTCTGGGACTAAGAGGATGTTTTAAAAAGTTCTTGTGTCATATTTACTTTTTCCGACGACCCTTATCAGAAGCCTGATGTACTCAAGCTCCATAATTCACGTGCTCCAATTACCTACCTAACTTCATACCCAAGAGGAATAATCAGAGGCATAAAATGCCACGCTCATAAAAAGAAACGTAATGGGTATGATTAGGATTTAAAATGGACAGGCTCATTTTTAAGGGCATAGCCATAGATAAGTAGCACCCACACTGTGCTCTACATAACTATAAAAGAATCAAATAGGGTTTGTTTAAAAAAACTCCTTAATAAACATATAATAAATCCCTACCTTTAAAACGAGTTGTATTACAAAAGCTCAGTTCTTCAGGAAGATGCATTTCCCCATAAAATACTACAAATGGTCATTCATTTCCAAAGCTGGCCCATCAATACCTATTTAACCCATAATCTACCGACATACAGTATAATGTGGAATGAAATGTGGTAAAAGTACCTGTAACACTTCAAATGCATATTAGTATCAATAGTTCAGCTGAGAGGATAGGAGCTTGGCAAAACAGATCCCAAAAAAATGGACTCCAGGGGTTACATATAACCCAAAGTGTTTACACAATTATATATATATATGGGTGGTTTTCTTATGAGAGGGTCCACAGCGTTCCTGAGGCTCTCGAAGTGGTTATTCATATCCCCATAAAGGGAAAGGGCTTCTGTGCTATATAAAATTCAATTCTTCCCTACAAAGCCCTCAGGTAGAGTTTATCAGTGAAATGAGGCATCTTGAGAAGTTATGGTCTACACATGCTTACATATAATGATAAGCTCATGGATGAAAAACTATCAAAAACCTTCCAGTAAAACTAAGTGAAGGAAATCCTGGTGTAAAGAATGCACTGCAAAAAAAAAAAAAAAAAAAAAAAAAAAAAGGAAAAAAATGTATAACTAAAAAAAAAAGAAAAGACCGCCCTACCACATTTTATGGGGTCTGAACTGCCCATATAAGATGACACAGGAAGTTCATCTGAAGTATTCAATAGAAGCTGATGATCCTAGTAGTATCCAATGTAAAGTAGATTCTGACCCATCAACAGTGTTTGTCTGCACAAACTGCAAGCAAACATTCCATATGCTTGTGAGAAATTCCACTTAAAAACCTTTCCCCATCCTAGCCAATTCACCTGGGCACTATATTATCATTATCTTAAAAAGAAAAATCCATCTATTACCTACACACAATTCAAACAAACAAAAATGTGTTTTTAAATGACCCAAACAAGTAATCTGAATGGGTACACATCTTTTCTATTCATTTTGACCAAGCAAATCTGGATAGTAACTTATTTTCATGTAATTTTTGATGTAACTTTCAACTTTAAAATTTTTCTGTACACTGATATAACACAGTTAAGGCATTGTTCTTTTCTTAATTGAGGATAGTTTGGTTTTAGATTGTTGTTGAAATAAAGTTGAACTGCATAGACTATAAGGCTGTTCTAACCAACAATGTAATTTCAGACTCATACCTACTTAAAATATTGTTTAATTACCTCTTCTTCTCAAACCATGAGTCCACAGCGTGGTCATTAAGGTGCTTCACTGCTTTTACCTCTCTCAAAACATTACTGTACTTCTTGACACACTAGCAACTAGCTTTCTATGGAAAGGCTTTTCACAAGCCAAGCGTCACGTACCCCTCCTGCCTTCAGCAACTTTCTTCTGAACTCCTCTGTGGGGTTGTTGAAGGTAAGCTTTTCACAGCGGAGGTGATTCACTGGTGGATGGCCTTCAAGATGCAGGAATAAGTCATAATCAAAACGAACCTTCTTAGGTTCTTCCTAGAGGTTAAAAAAAATAAGAAGGAAAACAGAGACTTAGGCATAAATAGAAATTTGGAAAGCAAAGGTTTACTCCTGATAAGGATCAGAAAAGACTCAGACTACAGCACCGGGGAACTCTACTCGACGCTCTGTGGTGACCTAAATGGGAAGGAAATCCAAAAAAAAAAGAGGGGAGATATGTATACGTATAGCTGATTCCCTTCCTAGTTAGTAGAAACTAACACAATAGTGTAAAGCAACTATACGCCAAGAAAAATTCATTCAAAAAAAAGAAAAAGAAAGAAAAGAGACCCAGACATCTAACAGCTACAGTGTCAAAGAAGGGGAAGTACTGGGGGAAAAGTCACCATGGAACTATCTACAAAGCAAAATGGAAACATGTGAAAAATTAGTTTCTTGTCTTAGAGGAAAACCAAAAAGAATAAACTCATCATCTTTCTTGCAGTCTCTCAAGTGGTAGGACACCACCACCACCGCCACCCAACTGGAAACCTAAGACACCCCTGAAGCCACTCCTTCCCCTTCCCACTCTACGGGCCTACACCCATCATCAACAGCTGACATTTTCTCTTTTAAATACTTCTTGAACAAGCTGTCTAACCCATACTGCCATGCTCTTACTGCTTCCTCAAACTACTATAAACTCCTTCCTCTAGTAGTTCTTCCTACCTCAGGATAGATGATCACTTTTCTTCTTCATTCAGGCCTCAAAACTGTCCATATGAAACAAAAATCTAGCCATTTTCACTCCTTGATTAAAATTTCACAAGTTCCCAATGCCATTAGAATAAAAATCTGAGCTCACCTAAATGCCACATAGGATTTTCACAATCTAGCTCTTGGTTCCATGTCTCACCACACCCCTTCCACCCATCTGGTGATCCAGCCACACATTGTGGTTGGTTGCTCCCAGAATTTACTCATTCTAGATTAACTCTGGGTTTCACCCTTGCTTTACATTACTACCTCCACTGCCGACCTCCACTCCTCCACCTTCTGCTTTACCTGGATAACTTCTACTCATCCGTCTCCATTCAGGTTTTATTTGGGGGAAGCCTTCCTTGAACTCCACTCCCAACTGCCCCTCCTCTGTTCTGTGTGCCTCTCTCTCTTATCCTTGAAACATCTTAGAGTAACTGTCTTATTATCTCCCTTTACCCTGCTAAATCATAAGATCTTTGAAAGCAGGAATAATGGTTGAGTCCTCACTGTACCCTCAACAACTAGTTTAGTGCCCCATGCATAGTAGCAATGCAATAAAGTCTGTGAAATGAATGAAAATACGGCATTTTCCTGGAGGACAAAACAGCACCATATCCAAGAGAACACAGTGATTATAATTCCATGATACTCGAGTTCTACTCTCCAGCCATTACTTTAGTTGGCTAAACATTTAAACCTCTCTACAGACAGATTCTCAGGCATCCAAGGGGAAATGAATACTGAGGATAATAATAACAATATTATGTATTTAACATTTATCTCATTTTCTTCTCATAGCTCTCCTTTGGGTCAGTTGTCAGCTCTGTTTGGCAGATGAGGAAATTAAAGCACTTAGAATTTATTACTTTATAAAAAATCTCCCTGTGTATTATAGATATTAACCATCTCTGTGAAATGTTACTTTTTTCATTTGTCATTAGCTTTGCGATTTTATGTGTTTTTGATAACAGCTATTTATGTTTTTTTAATAATAGCTTTACTGAGAAGTAATTCACACACCATAAAATTCACCCATTTAGAGTATAATATTTTGTGGGTTTTAGTACATTCACAGAGTTATAAAACCATCACCACATTCTGATTTCAGGACATTTTCATTACTCCAGAAAGATATCTCAAACTCATTAGTGGTCCAACAGATCCCACACCCCCTGGCATCACTAATCTACTTCTGCTTCTATGGAGTTGCCTATTCTCGACATTTCATATAAATACATGAACATACATAAAATACATACACAATATGTGCTCTTTTGTGACTGGCTTCTTATACTCAGCATGATGGCTTTGAGGTTCATCTATGTTGTAGTATGTGTCAGTTCCTTTTTATGGCCAAATAATAATCTATTATATGGGTATACCAGGTTTTGGTTATATATTTGTCAATAAATAGAAATGTGGGTTATTTCCATTTTGGGCTATTGTGAATAATGCTGCTATGAACATTTGTGTACAAGTTTTTGTATGGACATACATTTCCATTTCCCTTGGCTATGCACCTAGGAGTGGAATTTCTGGGTCACAAGGTAACTCTGTGTTGAACATTTTTAGGAAATGCCTTACTGTTTTACAGAGTGGCTGCACCATTTTAAAATCCCACCTGCAATGTATGAGGTGTTTATGGTCTTTAAAAACACAATATTTTCTAAAATTACATAGTCAAATAAAACAATGTTTTTCCTTTTTTATAAAAGAATTTGTTATATTACTAACACCTGATGAAACAAAGTGATCTGAACCCAGTTCTTTTGACTAAAACGTCTTAGCACCGAGCATGTGGAGAAAAGGGAACCCTCTTGCACTGCTGGTGGGAATGTAAATTGATACAGCCACTATGGAGAACAGTATGGAGGTTCCTTAAAAAACTAAAAATAGAACTACCATATGACCCAGCAATCCCACTACTGGGCATATACCCTGTGAAAACCATAATTCAAAAAGAGTCATGTACCACAATGTTCACTGCAGCTCTATTTACAACAGCCAGGTCATGGAAGCAACATAAGTGTCCATCAACATGATGGACAAAGATGAATGGATAAAGAAGATGTGGCACATATATACAACGGAATATTACTCAGCCATAAAAAGAAATGAAATTGAGTTATTTTTAGTGAGGTGGATGGACCTAGAGTCTGTCATACAGAGTGAAGTAAGTCAGAAAGAGAAAAACAAATACCATATGCTAACACATATATATGGAATCTAAAAAAAAAAGAAAAGGTCATGAAGAACCTAGGGGCAGGACGGGAATAAAGACGCAGACCTACTAGAGAATGGACTTGAGGACATGGGGAGGGGGAAGGGTAAGCTGGGATGAAGTGAGAGAGTGGCATGGACATACATACACTACCAAATGTAAAATAGATAGCTAGTGGGAAGCAGCCACATAGCACAGGGAGATCAGCTCGATGCTTTGTGACCACCTAGAGGGGTGGGATAGGGAGGGTGGGAGAGGTGCAAGAAGGAAGAGATATGGGGACATATGTATACATATAGCTGATTCACTTTGTCATAAAGCAGAAACTAACACACCACTGTAAAGCAATTATACTCCAATAAAGATGTTAAAAAAAAAAAAGTCTTAGCACCTCCAACTGTCAGAATGCAGACATTACCTACTACAAATTCATGGTTTTCACCTCTTCATCCAAACTTCCCCAGATCACAGTCTCCACTCATGTACTCACTACCTCTCACTTCTATTACTAATCTGGCACGAAACTTGCTCCTTCTCTCCTTAATCAGGGTGCCATTCTCTCCTGGTCTTCCTCACACTTACTGGCATTCCTCCTTAGTTTTCTTCACAAGCTTCCCTTCTTTCTTCATTGACTTTTTTTTTTTTTTTTCGCTACGCGGGCCTCTCACTGTTGTGGCCTCTCCCGTTGCGGAGCACAGGCTCGGGACGCGCAGGCTCAGCAGCCATGGCTCATGGGCCCAGCCGCTCCGCGGCATGTGGGATCTTCCCTGACCGGCACTAACCCGTGTTCCCTGCATCGGCAGGCAGACTCTCAACCACTGCGCCACCAGGGAAGCCCCTCTTCATTGACTCTTAAATGCATTTACCTTTTTGCAAAATTCCCCAGGGAGGCATCGCCCATTCACAGGGAGTTAGTTCCTCCTTCATGACAATGACTCCCCTCTCTACCTCCAGCCCAGTTCCCACTTGACTGCCATATGCTTGTGTTCCAGTTTAACCACACCTCCACTGGGGTGACCGGCAGCAACAGCAAATTCATGCGTTATCTTAAACTGAAGTTATCTTCATGTGTCCTTTCTCCTATACTCTATATCATGACAAACAGAAATCTTAATTGCTTCCCAAGGGTAAAATACACAAAAGTCATCACTAACGCTTCCTTCTCCCTTACTCATCACAGTCAAATGGTCTCTGAGTTCTGTTTAGTATTCCTCCTTAGGAACTCTCAAATCTATGCCCTTTGCTCTAGTCACAATAACTACTGCCTTAGCTTAGACCTTCATCACTCGTCATCTGGTCGCCTCCCTGTTTTTGAACTTACCCCTTTCTATCTACCTCAATGACAAGAGAGTGATCTTTCTGACACAAAAATCAGATTACATCTTCCCATTGATATAAAAGCCTTTAACGGCTCATCATTTTCTACAGGATGAAATCCCACCTCCTGGTAATAACCATTATAGTCTTTTAATACCTTTCCTGCATTGCTTTTGTTCTCTTACTCTACCTGGTCCTTCCACAATGTTGAAGCACTTGCTGTTCCCCAGTGCTTCATATTATCTCATTCATTTTGCTTTTCACATGTCGTATTCCCCGTTGTCTAAAATGCCTTCCCTCCCAGCATACTTCCATCCTTTACCTGTTTAGTGCAAACTCATCATTCAAGACCTAGCTGAAGCATGAACTCCTCTGAAAAGTCTTCCTAACCCTCCCAACCCCATCTGAATTAGACATCCCTGTTACAGCATTCCTTTATTAATGTAATGATCACAACCATTTTTACTAATTACCTGCTTTTCCTCCAAATTGTAAAATAGTCAATACAACTTTAGAATTAATTTAAAAAATAAGAAGGGCCATTTTCTACCTTACAATTGGGAGTGTAAATTGGTAAAGCCTTTGGGAAAACACACTGGCAATATCTATCAACATACTAAATGCATGCAATGTTTAACCCAGTAATTCTACTACTAAGAATCTCTTCCACAGAAATATTCAAATATATGTGCAAAGATATAGAGACAGATATAGATGTAAAATAAAATGTTCATGGTAGCATTGTTTATAATAGTAAAAAACAGGGATGATCTGCATGTAAGTATATCATTATCATGGAATACTATGCAGATATTTTTAAAAACTGACTTGGAAAGGCATATCGCTAAGTGAATTAAAGGCAAGTCACAGAAAAAATATTAAAATATAATATATTATGTCCTTGCCAATCTCTATATAGACATACTTTTTATCCATGCAAGTGCATGGGGGAAAATCTGGAAAGGCTATACCAAATAGTTAACAATGATTAAATGAAGTGAAAGGAGTAACTCCTAAGTTTTATTCCATTCACTTTTACTAGGAGTATACTCCAGTATACTTTTTTAAAGAGAAAAATACATTAATGAATATAATAATTACCAGCAGAAAAGGAGTGAGGTAGTAACAACACTTTACAGTTCACACCAGTTTAAAACCAAAAAAAAAAAATTACTTTTCAGTAAAACTAAGGCTAAGTACCACAGACAGTGACAATCTTTGTATGAATCCTGAGTGTGATTTTCTTTTGAAGTTTTTTTTTAATAGAAAGTAAAAAGTAACCATAAATTTGTGGTCTGACCAACTGAATATCTTTCTTAGAGAGCTGACATCAATATAATGTCAATTTATGCTCCATAGAAAAGATTCTTCTTCAAAGTTCAAACAAGGAAGCATGTATTTATTCTCCATATAAAGCTGATACATTTCCTAGAGGGTGGAAACCTGGTTTTGGCAATATCAAATTATCCCTTTCAGTCTGCTTCAGTCCTTGACATTCACTCATGTACTTTTCTGAGGACAGAATGAAAGAGAGAAGCACGGGATCCTTTCAAACCTGAAGTGCTACAGTCAATTATGTTTCAGTGGGCCTGTTGGTTTAGTTTCTGAAACACACAGATTCTCATGGATAGGCTTGTTTTGTTGAATACAAACACAAAATAAGAGAATAAACAAACATGAACTCATAAGAAGCACTGACACTCCACCACCCCTCTTGACTCTGACCTCTCAAATAAGTGAGCAAAACTGAAGACAAGCTTATTATAAGCGAGAAAAGTACAAGGATGGAGATGGGACCAAGGGCAGGGTGATATTATACACTGAATATGCAGTGGCAGGCCCCTTCCAACATCAGGTGGAGGTCTTTTTGCTGCTTTCTCTCATCTCCTATGCAAACTTGAAATAATACTTTTTCATAAACCATTATTATAATGGATGTTCTTTCTACAAGACAGAGTTGAGTAAACTCCAGGGATAAATAAAATAATATACACTCAGAAGAAATGAAATGAACATTCTGGAGCAACAGCCTAGACCTATTAAATTTTCACACATAGATCATTTCAGTAGGATGGAGATCCAGAGTGGAAGATAGCAAAAATTTGGTTTCTAAGACACTCTAAGAAGATAAATTAAAAAGAGATGACAGAGCAATCATTTTAATTAAAAAATTAAGAACATAAAGAAAAGTATTTAAAACACTACACCCATACATTTTCCACTGAGTTTAAAGAGATGTTAACACTTTCACCATGCTAGTTTACGTTTCTCTTTAAATAAATAAAATTTTGTAAATATGAGCTTCTCCATCCCTCCTTCCCTAGTAAGCCATGCCCTTTAGTTCCTGTGCTGTCCTTTCAACTCATGCTCTTGTACTACATATGTGTCTCCATCACCTCATTTATTCTTGGCTTCAGTGGTTTATAAAACCATACATAAGTGATATCATAACCATATAATATATAATCATCATTTTTGTTTTTGAGACTTATCCATCTTGCTACATTAATTGCTAAATAGCATTTTGTGTATTATTAACCCATCAGTAATTAATCCACATCTCTACAATTAGGTGTATACTACTTTTTCATATTACAAACACTGAAATATGTTTCATTGTGCACCTGTGAAAAAAGCAATAATTATTATGTATAAAATCTTAAAGAAAATCTAAAAATAAAAATCAGCTAATCTGGACACTAAACAGAGTATCTACTACACAGTGGTCAGCTGAATGTCTATTTTACAATGGCCCCAAAGAAATAACTGTCTTCCATCTCAGGTGCATCTTTCTTCTTTCATATTTTAAGAAACTAAAAATTCCTCACAAAGTGAATAAATAATATGTCTTTCAGTCATAAGAATTGCTACCCAAAGTACCAAGACGACTGCATTTGTGTGTGCGCACGTGTGCACACATTACTTGCAGCCTCTTCATCCTTCATTTACTTTCTTTTTAAATCTGGCGGATGAGGAGATTCCAGTTATTTCTGTAAAGGAGGGAATTGGGCAGTTCAGAAAATATATTTCTCTGAAGAAATGAGAGCTTGTAAAAGTGACCAGAAAAGTTAAAAACAAAGTAGGAGAGAAGATACTTTATTGCAGCATTATTTCCAAACTGAAGCCTTCAGTGTACCTTCACACATCGCTGGTAGGAAAGTAAAATAGTACAGTCATTTTGGAAAACAGTTTGGCAGTTCTTTAAAAAGTTAAATTAAACACAGAGTTACCACACGACCCAACAACTCCATCTAGGTGTGTAACCAGGAGACTTGAAAACATATGTCCACACAAAAACTTGTATATGAATGTTCGTAGCAGCATTATTTATAGGGCAAAGATGGAAACAAGTCAAATGTCCATCAAATTATGAATACAAATATAAGAAAAAATGTGGCATTATTTATACAATGGAATAGCATTCAGTTATAAAAAGGAATAAGTATTGGTACATCCTATAACACGGATAAACCTTGAAAACCTACTAAATGAAAGAAGCCAGACACAAAAGGCCACATATTGTATGATTTCATTGATAAGAATTGGCCAGAATAGGATATTACACAGAGAAAGGGAATAGATTAACCCCAGGGGCTGTGAGAGTAAGGAATGAGGAGTGATTGCTGATAGGTACAAGGTTTCTTTATGGGGTGATGAAAAATGTCCTAGAACAAAATAGTGGTGATGGTTGCACAATACACTAAAACCCACAGACCTGTACATTTTTAAAGGATGAATTTTATGGTGTGTAAGTTATATCTCAATTTTTTTAATAAAAAAAAGAAAGCTAAAAACTAATTTCTTAAGGGAAATCTTGACATGAGAAAAAACAAATCCATACATCAAATGTGAAAGCATATCATATGAACAGACATAAATGCATCTCAACAAATTCTGATTTGATGAAAAACACGTGAACATTTCAGTGGTGTTACTACTGAGGAAGGTAATCATTATTCTGGCAGAGTTACTGCTTCAAAGACACAGAAGTCAAGAGAATTGCCAGTGGAGAGAAAGATCTAGATCAAGAATCTGGTTTTAACACTTTCCAACTGTGTGTGGCCTTGGACAAGCCATGTAATCTTTCCATGACTCAGTTTCTCTTCCTGTAGAATAGGAATAATAACCTCTCAAAAGTTCTTATAAACCTACTAAACAAAGCAACATATGTAAAGGGCTCAGTAAACTGCCACGGACAAAGTAAGCACTCAGCTATTTAACTACACAGAAATAGGTTACCACCAAATACGTACCCAAAATATAAATATAAAGAAAAAATAATTAACAGGGATATCATGTGTGTAGGAAGGCCGTGGAGCAGGAATGTAGCACATGAGGAGGCCGGCTTGAAAAAAACAAGAAATATGAAAAGTAAAATTTATCCCTATTTTCTACACATTCCAACTTTTGAAGATAGTTTCATTATAGCTTATTTAAAAGTTAATTATCTCTTAATCACAAAGAGATTTTTACTGAATTGAAGGCTGGGCCTTCTATACATTGAAAAAGCCAGTAGAACACAATACTGTAAATCAACTATACTTCAATTAAAAAGAAAAAAAGAAAAAGTCAGTGGGACACTGTTCCAGCGGAAGATACTGATCACTAAAGAGTGGCTTATCAGAGGTTCTCATACTTTGTGGTGTTTCTTCACCTGGAAGGCCAGTAAATATGCAGATTCCTAAGCCCCATCCCAGAGATTCTGATTCAGTAGATCTGGGATAGAGCCTGAGAATCTCATTTCCAACCAGCTCTTGGGTGATGCTGATGCTTCTGGTCCAAGGACCAGACTTCACGGAGCACTGGCTTGCATAACACAACATTCTAATTGCTCAGTTCCTTTAAAAAGAAAAATGTGAATTCTCTCACTTTGGGGCAGGTTTCAGGAACTATGATTACCTTGGAATAAAAGGAAGAAACAGGGTGATTAAAAATAACAGCTAGCATTTACTAAGTGCTTACTTACATATGAAGCATTATTCTAAAAATCCTGCATAACTTTATTTAATCTAATCCTCCTAGCCACCTTATGAGGTAGATACACTTATCCTATCCCCATTTTATAAATGATAGTGAGCCCCACAGAGGTTAAGCGATGTGTCCAATATTATACAGTCTGCGTGTTTTGCCATATATGCACTGCTGAAATTTTTAAAATCCAATAGAATCCGTAATATCTACTTGCTGATATAATTGTATATATGTGTGTCACATGTGTGTATCCGATAAAGGTAAAGGAGAGATTATTCTTTGTAAGTCTCAAATTCTAGAATTATGAAAATGAGAAAAGGATCATTTCACCGAAAAGCTGTAATTTCTCTTTTCTATTGTACAAACATATATTAATCTTCTTTTTCAAAAGGTAATGACTCTTCTCTTAAAAGAAACATTTAATGAATTTCATATAATCTGACTTCACAGAACTGAAATTATCTTTCTCTAGCCACTTCCTCTTTAATTAAGGACAACAATAGCCAAAATTCCTAGAAGACAAATTTTAACTTTCATTTTAAAATCATCTAGTGATAGAAGTGCTTATGAATCAAAACTATTTTAAACATCATTTGGTTAATGAAGGATCTTCTATTGAAAAATTAATGAGTAAAGATTACATACCTTGTTTTTAAAATAAACCTCAATTGGCAAAATGAAACCAGCATACCCAGATTCTTCTACTTTGTAAGGTGGATCTTTGCACACTGCAACATTAAAAAAGAGAAAAACAGTGAGATGAGATTAACAGGCAAAAACACATTCTTCTTTCCTTTAAAAACACGAAAAAAAAAATCCTATCCTACCACCTACATCAATCTCAATTTTCACAGCCCTTTGCCAAGCCCCAGCTAACTCTCTGATTTGTTCTTTACTTCTTGTTCAGAATCTACAATAATAATATTCCTATGTAAATCAAATATGTAAGTTATTTATTCAAATCTTGATGGGGGATAGTGCATCACAGTCAACCATGGTCATGAATGACTGGACTTTAGTGATTATCACCCTGCCCTAACACTTTAGGGAAACTGAGGACAGCACCTTGTGACTGAAAGCTTGAAAACAACTATAAGTTACCTAACAAACATATTATCTATGTCTAGTCTTTGATGGACATCACACTACCCCAAACCCCTCAGTTCTCTGAGATATCCTAATTTCCGTACCAAAAGGTGGCAGGACCACCCTCCTTCCTTAGAGAAATCCCAAACCCAGTGTCTCCCAATGTTATTGGTGTTCATTAAGACTTATTATCCCCCATTACCCCCAAAGGAATACTTACTGAAATACTGCAATACATACAAAGACTTCAAAACTATTCACATCATAAGAATACATAAGAAACAATAAGGTTTTTGTATTCTTATGAAGAAAGACTTATTTAGACAAGACTATTTAGGCAAGCTCTTGGGAAATGAGAGATGCCCTAAGAAGCTAAATATGATTTCACCCCACTAAAATTTCCATTAAATCAAAATCAGTTGCAAGGGCTTTCCCTGGTGGCGCAGTGGTTGAGAGTCCACCTGCCGATGCAGGGGACACGGGTTCATGCCCCGGTCCGGGAAGATCCCACATGCCGCGGAGCGGCTGGGCCCGTGAGCCATGGCCGCTGAGCCTGAGCATCCGGAGCCTGTGCTCTGCCACGGGAGAGGTCACAACAGTGAGAGGCCCGCGTACAGCAAAAAAAAAAAAAAAAAAATCAGTTGCAATCCAACTGAGCTATTCTAGTTAAGACTGCATTCTGCTGGTAAGTATCACAAAGAATTAAAAATGTACATGTTGAACATCAAGGCCATATACCCCATAGTACATATACATAACCTGGTAGCCCAAGTCCACTTCAGCAGGGCTCCAGTCTGCCTTTTAAACCCTTCCTCCTTTTGTCACCCACCAATCCTCCTATGCTTCATTCAATTGCATCAATTCCCCCAAAACATGTCCAGTATTTCCCACCTATGCTCTGTCCTCTTTCCTTCCATCGCACTTTGATGCTACTCTTAGTATACTCTGCTAGTTCAAATCTCAATTTCTTCACAAAGCCTTTCCAGAGCACCACAGAGTACTATCCTCTCTTCTCCTTTTACCCTCCCAAAGAACTGTCTGAATCACTGATTTGACACTTAACAGACTTCCTTATTATCATATATTCAGGAACCTCGTTTCTAATTCCCTTTCACTCCCCAAGGACAGAAATTTTTTTTAATTAATTTTTATTGGAGTATAATTGCTTTACAATGTTGTGTTAGTTTCTGCTGTACAGCAAAGTGAATCAGCTATACGTATACATATATCCCCTCTTTTTTGGATTTCCTTCCCATTTAGGTCACCACAGAACATTGAGCAGAGTTCCCTGGGCTATAGAGTAGGTTCTCATTAGTTATCTATTTTATATATAGTATCAATAGTGTATATATGTCAATCCCAATCTCCCAATTCATAAGGGCAGAAACATTTACTCAGGAACATAAGGAGTGTCAAGGGCTCAGGCATGCCTGGGTGTCAATCCGGAATCCACCTCGAACTAGCCAGGCTACCTCTGGAAAGTTACTCCAATTTTCTGAACCTCAGGTGCCTTGCCTGGACAATGTGAGAACTAAACAAGGTGACGTATGTAAAAGACACAGGATAGGTCCTGGAACACATAAAGAAGTGGCAGAAGTAAGGCAGGAAATCTAACCTGTAAATACCCAATTGTCATGTAAACCTTTCGGATGAAAGTAGAAAGGAGAAAAGTACAGAGCCCTGGATTTGGATTAGAAGACTCAGTTCCACGGCCCTGGACTAAGGATTCTCTAGACAGCTCTAGTTCTATTCCCTTTATATATATATTTTTTTTATTTTTGGCTGCGTCGGGTCTTCGTTGCTGCACGCGGGCTTTCTCCAGTTGCGGCGAGCGGGGGCTACTCATCGTTGCGGTGCATGGGCATCTCATTGAGGTGGTTCCTCGTTGCAGAGCACGGGCTCTAGGTGTGCGGGCCTCAGTAGTCGTGGCATATGGGCTCAACAGTTGTGGCTCACAGGCTCCAGAGCACAGGCTCAGTAGTTGTGGCGCACGGGCTTAGTTGCTCCGTGGCATGTGGGATCTTCCCGGACCAGGGCACCCTGCACTGGCAGGTGGATTCTTAACCACTGTGCCACCAGCAAAGCCCCCATTCCCCTTAAAAGAGAGAACATCATCTACACATTGTAAGCATGGCTATCAAGACTCAAGAAGATTATATATGTGGGGAAATACAAGTCTGAGGCATTTTTAAGGCAGGGGAGGATGATGATGTACTTAAAAATTGGTTAGACACTCCATGAATACAAATACGATTACAAAGAGGTATCCTGAAGACAGGATTTTAACACTTGGCAGTCTCCTGTAGCCCACCTTAGGAAAATTTCCCCAAACTGACATCAGAAGAAGTAAATGATGATGAATGAGGCATCTCACCTGACCTTACAAGTTTCTCTAATAAAAAATGAAAAAGCAAAAGGACTCAGAGTGGCTTCAGCCCTGCATCCACTGGCCACCTGCCAACCTATCATGAATATTCAAATACCCTGAACACTGAGCAGGGTGCCACTAAATGCATGAGCACCCCACCCCAGCTAGAAAGATAGCATTACATCCATGACATTTCCAGGCTGCAGAGCCCCTTTTCAGAACAGCAGTTTCAGTGTCCAGGTTGCTTGGGATTAATTATGCCAATGCCATTCGAAGGAAGTTTATTCTGTGGGCTGCTGTAGATGCCAGAGAAGTTATAGCTGTTCCTCTCTACACCCTTTTGTACAGTTCACTTTCTCTATTCTGCATGCAAAATGCTCCTATTATAGAAAACAGCTGTTAGTGAGCACATCTTATAGTTGAAGGTCTTAAATTTTTTTCCCACCCTTTAAAGGAAATGATCTGTTATGTATTACTATTCCAAAGAAGTCTAGTTTTATAAGAAACTGTTTACCAACTCATACCTCAATTATTTTTAAATGCAGTATTTTCATAAATAACAATGAACAATGTCTGTTGAGCACCCTGAGTTCTCAATTAGAAGCAAACAATAGAAACTTTTTATTCACAATAAACACGACAGAAAAGCAGTAGCAATGCAAATACAAATTTACAGTTCTAATCTGAAAAAAGGTCAAATTAGGGGAAGTAGTTTATTTATTCGACTGTTTTATAATCAGAATCATTAACATGAGTTTCTAACCTTAAGGATCTATTAAGATCTATGTAATAAAAGGCCAAATGTCATAAGTTACTGAAGGGATACCCATCTATAGAAAGCCATCACATTTTTTTAGGTGACAATAAAATGGGAGGATTCATATTCATTCTTTAAACTATGCACATTAATTCAGTAGAAATCACTGGGAACTCTTATTCCTGTCAAAATCCAGCCAAAATTCTGAGATGTTGGCTCCCTCAGAACGTCTCTCTGTTCCTCTTCCAAGCTTCTCTTGTTGCACTTACTTATCAGGCAGCCTGATAACGTTCATTCACCGCTCAGACTCCTCACTAGACTGAGCGACTTGAGGTCAGCAACCCCACCATTATTATTTGAGCACCAAATAATAGGTGTTCAATAAATATTTGTTGAATTGAATTTCTTAAAGATTCATGCCACTCTTGAGTTTGTGGTTAGCAGATACAAACTAGTATATATAGGATGGATAAACAACAAGGTCCTACTGTATAGCACAGGGAACTATATTCAGTATCCTGTGATAAACCATAATGGAAAAGAATATAACAAACAATGTATGTATATGTATAACTGAATCACTTTGCTGTACAACAGAAATTAACACAACACTGTGAATCAACTATACTTCAATTAAAAAAAAAAAGGATTCATGTCACTCTTCACTGATCTACCATTGCTAAAGAAGTTGCTTTCTACAAGCAGCAATGATTTGATATTAGCCAGTCAAATTCTTCTCCAAACGCACTACAAGCAAAATAATCTTTTAAAAATTGGTAGAGGTGATAGAAAGTGTTGCCACAGAGAAGTAGTCTCTTGAAAGCAGAGTATCTAATGTGGGACTGATTCTAATTCTATAGTACCAAATTTTAAGAAATTGAGTTAACAAATTGGGCCAGAAGATCTCCAACATCATTTTGAAACTAACACTATAGAGCCATAAATAACATTTCCCTTTTCCTCTCCTTCTGCACATTACTACTCATGTGCCCCAAAGCTCTAACTAGAAGACATTTTCAAAACTCCATGCAGATCTACCCACACACAACACCCAAAATTTAGGCCTGAGAGGAACAGACCAAAGTTTTCATAAATAATGAGTAATTGGGCTTTTTCCCCCCCCAAAATAGCTTTTCAAAATAATAGGCACAATATAAACCCATATACATAGTATTTAGAATGATGTTAACTATATACATTGACCATTAATCTATTTAATTTTTAAGTTGAGTGGAAAATGTACAAAAAGAAGAAAAACACATGAAAAGGGAAAAAAGTCATGATTTGATTAGCCTGGAATAAGTCAAATCCTTTCTTATTACCTGAGATTTTTAATATTAATCCTTTAGGAGAAAAAGGCTTGAAAAATAGCTATGCTTGATACAAAGAAATAAGTGCTACCTAGATGAATAAATGAATTTGTGCTTATATAATGTTATATATACAATAAGTAAACTTAATTTATTAAAATATCTCATTTTTAGCACCAAAAACAAAAAACAAGAAAAAGAAAGAAA